TTTGCTTCAAAGGTCTCATTTAGGTCAGGCATGACAGGCTCCAACCAAATGGAATGCCATCTTCTATGAGGTCCTCACTAGAGCCACGCTGCTGTGAAAACCATTCTTTAGAACCTGCAGAATTGACAGCTAAATAAACCAATCTTGGTTATAAACTTATTCAGATATAAATTTATAGTAATAGAAAATGGGCTAATGCACTACTGTGATCATACTGCATTGGAATATAATTAACTAGCAATGGAAGAGCACCAGTAAAACCTTAAAGTTAGAAACCAGTTGAACATATATTTGAGTGTAAGATATACCGCTTAAAAGAAATATGACTTTGAGAAAGATTTACAAAATGGACTTGGAGTGCCAATCTCTTGCCTTTTTTGTAGGCTTTGTGATGCTCTAAAGAACTTATTGCATTGGTCCAGGGATTTGGCTCAGTGGCGCTGCCACCTGCTTCACAAGTGCAAGGTCCTGAGTCTGATCCCTGGCACCAAAAAAAAAAAAAAAAAAAAAAAAGAACTTCTTAAAGAACTTATTGCATTGCCTAGAACATAAAACAAAAAATTAAAGTGATTAATAATCATTGTCCTTTTTAGTGGCTAATAGAAATTCTAGGATGAAGTGATCTGTGAATGCATTTCCCACTAAATGTTAAAATCTTTAGATAAATTTCATTTTCCCAGATCCACCTCTTTTATGATGGTCTGGGCTGTTTTCTCATAAAGTATTCTAAAGAGTCAAAACAACAAAAACATGAAGACGTGTTTCACAACCTAAAAGTGGAAGGTGCTGTACTTATATAAATTCAAAGTTTATGTTCTATGAATTGGGGATTGAGAGATCCATAAGTATGGACTTTATTACTGCCACCTGGAATTGCGTTGCCTCACCTGTAACAGACAGATGATAGTCAAACAAGAATCATAAAGTTTAGGAGAATCTAGGGAATGCTGAGCTAAAAGCAGGAACATATCCATAAAATAAAGTGTTAATGTCTACTTCAAGCACAGCATTTTCATTCTGGTTCTCCTCCAAACTAAAGCTTCCTAATTCTGCCAGATTTCACATGCAAAAGTTTATACTTTGTTGTTTGGCTTTATATCGCATAGGGAGCAGGTAGCTAATTCCTGTCGTTCTCCTTTCTTTCCTGATTTTTCCAAGAGAAAATTTCCCTTTGTGCTCAGTGACCTAAAAAATGAAGTGATGCTAAATAAATAATGCCTCCCAGGGAATTCTTCACATGCACAGTATTTTAATACAGTGCTTACTACACCCAGAGAGACTAAGTCACAGACTATTGTGCATGGCCCTCCACCACCAACCTCCTGAATGGCCTTTGTCCAAACACCTGGTTACAGAGGCAGTAGGAGCTATTTTAGGTAAAAATTCCCTGTGCTGTCACTTGCTCCTGCCAAATTAAACATTTTCTCTTAAAATTACAGCATTCTGGATTCACAGGAGTTTTAGAGAGCTAGTTCAGCATCCACCAAATTGTCCCAGAGAAATGTCATCATCCCCAGGGAAAGTATATCATATGAAAAAAGAGGAAATATTCTGTGGTAAATTTATTAAATGATTTTTTAAATTATAGAATTCTTAGAATCCTTCCTAGGTGTAGAGGATTTTGAATAAATAAAGAGAAAGAAATGGGAAAGAGGGAGAGAATGAGAGCAAGAGAGCACAAGAGCTATACAGAATATACAGCATTGCTACAACCGACTCTGTGATGTGTGTTAGCATCTTCTAGTGCACAAGCATCACACATAATAGTTTGGAGAACACCATTGTGGTTCCATTACTTTACAGATCAGGAAATGATTCCACTTTCAAGAAAAAAAATTGTCCGCTTAATAAAAATTTAAGTTCAGTTTTAAATTATTGAAAAGTCACCTGAACTGGCAAAAACACGTGCACTGCTTCTGTTCCTGTTTGGCATCATAACAGCTGGCACCAACAGTCTTTTCCTTCTCCCAGCTCCTGTTTTTACCCTCACCAACCAGTTTTACATGCAGTCTAACAGAGCTTGTGCTTTTTCCAAAGGTGCCTGCTGCCAAGTTGCCTTTGATTTCCATAATGGTGAATAGCAGCCTAGAATTCCCATTTTTCCTGTCATGGACTGATTTGAGACTAATTATATTTATCACTCCACACAGTTTCATCTTATTAGTGTGAACAATAATAGTGTTTCACTGATGATGATTAGTCACTTCCTTTTCACCTTTTATTTAAAACGAATGTAATATTTTCCTTGTATTTCCCAGTAATATTGTGACAATTTAGAAATTAGTTGTTAGTCATTTTATAAAGGAAAAGGGAATCTACTGTGTCTCTGTATAAAAATTTGGACATAATTTATGGTGAGAGAAATAGGGACAGTTCAGAGAAGGAAGGATTATCACTTTACCTATCTCAATCACAAGTTATGTACCATTACAGTTAGAGGGAAAATTATATGTTGAATTCTTCAGCTCTTAGCAGCCTGAGTATATGACAGTGTAAAAGCCCTGACAGTATATGTCACGCACAGCCTGGAGACAATGACCTGGCAGACATCCAGTGGCAGGTTCCATTCTCACATGGCCAGACTTCTCCTTCATGCTGCACATGGCCAGTCACCTGCCTTCTTCCACTGTAATCCATCCCTTGCTACCTCCATCAACAGTCAGTGTGCCTTTCTGATCATTGCAGCAGAGAAGGGCAGCATTGTTGAGACACACACGCATACACACACACAGAGTAAACCAGCATTTCAGAAGAACAAAGAAAAATTCTTGGTAAATGTGATCATTTGAAAATTATATCAAAGGAAGTATTTCCCTTGTTTTTCTTTTAAGATATATTGCTTCTTACTATTACTTATATAGCTATCATTTCCAAGCTGTGTAGAATAGTACATGTAATTTATCCTCCATCTCAATTCTCTGTCCATAAAATGGATCTAATTCATTCTCTTTTCAGAATATTTATGAGTACTAAATGGAATCAAGTATGTAAAGGTAATAACACATTATAGAAACTTGAAATAAATGTTTTCATTTTTTGAGGGTCCTTTTAACAACCTATCCCATTTTACACACATTATTGGAGATTAAACTATAAAATAAATGGCAAGTACCTCCATGAATGTTAGACTTGTTATTTTCCCTTCTCTTCTGTTGTTTTCCCACCTCCAATCTAAAAAATAAAATGTAGACTCTTTAACACAGTTCACTCAGAAAGAAGCAAACAATATCTATTATTTCAGCAAATACATTTTATATAAAGCATGAGTTATACAGCTGTTGCAGAACTGAAAAATGAAAAAGAGGGCCCTGGGTTTATACAGAGATAATATCTCCAACTGTAGGACTTATATATACATGAAGAACATGCTGGGATGTTGGAAGGGAGACCCTGCATATCTCCAGCCCATAATTTTTGGAGGTGGGTTGCGCTGCCAGCGATGGTGTTGTAGGAGCTCAGAGCAGAGAACTGAGGGAACTCAAACTGCAGGAACTGTCAGGAAGGGATTCAAGGCGCCTAGTGCTGGTACCTCTGAGGAGACAGAGGGAGTTAGTCTCGGAAGGGCTTGCAAAATTTGTGCACCGACTTCTGAGACTAAATTGGTGAAAGATGATTACTCAGGAAAGGAAAGAATGCTCTCCTTTCTCTCTTTAGAGCTCCCTATTGTCTAAAAGAAAGGCACCTGACAAAGGAGAAAGGTAGCGTGAAGTATCTCAGTGCCCAAATTTCAGATCAGGATATAGAAGCTTTGATTAGGAGGTAAAGACAGAATTCTTACCCCACCTCCACTGAAAGAGAGATCAGAACAACCTTTGTTCAGTTTTTTCTGAAATGAATCTATTGAGAGAACTGAAGATATCAATATTATTGGATGAAACCAGTAGACTGTCTTTTTTGTATCTAATATTTGGGAAGAGAGACTCATTTGTGCCACGTAGTGCAATTATAATTAATGTTTTTGCAGAAATAGAAATTCAGGAAGCCACCAGGAGATTGAAGCAAAGAATTTGTTCCAAAGTGATTAATTTAAAATTGAAAACTATGACATGCCTCCTTAAGCCTGAGATATTTCAGACAATCAAGTGTTCTGTGTTTCATTACTGTGATTTGCATAACCAGGATTTTATTTAATTATTTTGTAGAAGACTCTATTGTAATGAAACCAAAACAGTCATTAAAGGGTATAGACCTAGGCTGGTGAATGTGTGATTTAATTCTGTTTTATGCAGTTTCACTATAATTTCTTGCAATAAATTTGACTTGTCAGGTGTGGGTATGTGTGTATGTATTTCAGTATGCTTGTGTATGTGAGGGAGAAGGAAAGATAAAACAGAAAAAGTTATCAAAGAATAATAAAAATTTCTCTTTTTAAAGTAGGAGTTGATATTAGCAAATGTTTGAATGAGCTTTTAGTTTGTAAAATTATCATGGATACAATATGCACATTCGTAATAATTGAAATAATAAAAATTAAATATGTCCAGTATCACATAGTGGTTTTTTCTTTATTCATTTATGTTTTCATAAGCTTCTTTAAAAAATGCTATATATTAAAATTATTCTCTTTTCCTAACACATTACGTATAACTTGATTGCTCATACTTTCATCATCCACATACTGCTGATACAGGGTCAACTTCAAAACATTTAATGAACATACTCAGTTTGAGAGAAAGAATGTCTGATCTTTTAATTATTATTTCCTAACATGTATTTGAAGAATTCATATTGACTCACAAATACTACATGTAATAAAAGTTGGTATGTGAAAATGCAAGCAATGGTGTCATCCTTGGATGGGTACTTCAGATCAGACTGCAAATTTGCAGCCAAGAAATGCCTGTATGGTTTTTTTGTTTGGTTGTTTGTTTGCTTTTACTTTTAGAATTAGAGCAAAAATATCTGATGGAAAATGACATGAGGTATTTGAGATTACAACTATTAGAAGCTGAATTTATTATTTTCCACGTTCTCAAGATTTTTTGTTTCATTTCATTTAGGAAATTCACTGAAGATGGTTTCAAGATGTAGAATCCTTATAGACGAAATATCGCAAATGAAGTTTGGGAATCTTTGTTGAAATTGCTTCGCATTATGGTAAGAGGACACGGTTCTTAATATTTTGTCCCTTGGTGAATATGATGAGAAAATTATAGTGTTTTGTATTTGTGTGAATTTTTATGTAATGAATATATAATGAAATAAAAATTATGAAGGTATTCATCCAATACATAAGAAGATTTAGAAAAACCTATTTGTTAATTTACAGTGATTATTCTCTAGCTCCTAAAATTGAATAGAGAACAAATAGATAAGTCAAATTTTTGACTGATTTCCTACTGTGTGTTTTTGTGTTATTTACATGAGTCAGTATTATCACAATAGTCCTATGAGGTAGGTATTATTATCCCCACTGTATGAATGTGAAAAGAGAAATTTGGGGAAACTAAAATCTTATTCAAGATCTTGCAGCTAGCTACTTGATAGCCCAAGAGTTACTTGACTGTAAACTTTACTCTTTCTGCTATGCTGCTTCTAGCCTTTGATATGGTTGAAAAGCTAAAAAAATTAACTTAGGTTGAGGGTAAGTGCTTCAAGTTTTCAGTTATGATTTAGAGAAGAACCATATTTACCATACCTCAGATGAAAAGCAAAGAAAAGGAATTTCCTTTATGTTACACTACTCTTCAGGAGAATAAGATTTCTGTAAAATCAATGACTGGTTGTACAGATGCTGGTGTTTCAGAGCAATTGAACATTATAGAAAAACTGAAATAAAATATATAGTATAATTTTCTCACTTATGTTTGCTGTAAGAAGAAAATCTATAGGCTTCCTCTATACAAAAATCCTGTCATGGCCAATGATAAGGTTCAATGCAACCAGTATTAATGCCTCTTTATGGGTAAATTATATACACAGAGTCTTGAGCAAGTAATTTAAAAAGTCTCATTTACCTCTCCTACAGCTTGTGCCATTATGTTGTTATGAGATTTCATTCAAATAAGAATTAATACAGTTATGCAAATGCCTGACATTCTGCTTGGTACATAGTTAATATAAATCATATCGACATCAGTATCAAAGACATTATCATATAATGCTATTAAAATATAATCTAAAAATGTATAATCCAGTATTTTTGAAGCTCCATCTAGGAGAATTTGTGATTAAATAAATATTTATCTGAAAAGTTCTCCCCTTTCAACATTATGTACTATTTGTATAAAATATATTTGGGCAATTTTAGATTGCTGATTGAAACTTTTAGAATTTCATTACACTTTAGAGTCAATAGTTTATAAGTGGGAGAACATAGATTTTTTTCCCCTAGAACTCAGCAATACCTTTAGATTTAGTTTGTCTGCTATCCTGTCTGAAAATATGCAGAAAAATCTACCTCAGTGATTGGAAACCAAATACCTTCTGTAAACCAGGCAGTCCAATGTGTTTGAGTTATTCAACAGTGAGCACTTGGAGTCTATAAAGTGTTCTGTTGGTGGTAGTTGGGCTTACCATCTTACTTCTAGGTTTTTAATAATCAGCAACACTTCTGTGAAAGCAGGTATGTATCATGACTGCAGGTGGAGATCGCAGTTTTAGTTTCTCTGCTGTGAAAATGAGTGGGGGAAGTGATGCCAGCACTCAACGTGAAATTCAGAGAAACTTTAAATTGTCCCCAGGTTCCAATCTGTTTTCACTTTCTTTATGGAAGAGTAAAAGCCTATAAAATTAGTGGATGAAGTGTAGTAATTGGGCTAGACTCTCCAGCATTAGTAGAGAATGGCTTTCTCTAGAGTACCATGAGAACATAAGATTGGCTATTCTTTAATGAAGCTATTTTAATTAGTTTTTATTCTTAGACACCCCCATAAATGTTCGTGTCCCAGCTACATTATGTTACTTTTCACTTCAGCAGTATTGACTTTATACACGATACAACTAACCAATTATTCTCGTATCCTCACGTTACATCTACTTTTGTATTGAGTTCAAAAGTTGTTGTATAGGAATAGAATTCTCTCTGCTTAGGGCCACATATTTTTTCTCTTTGATTTTTCTGTATCATTACTTTGTATGTGCTTCCTGCACAACCAGATCTGAAACAGTCATTGTGTCACTTAGCATCTTGATCACAGAATAATATTGTTATTGTAACGTGAGGATCATAATAGTTACATTGTCCACTCTTTCCTACTCTTCAAGGTATGCAAATAATATTTGTAAATCACCTCCTGCTTGGAACATTGTTGGTTTTAAATGGTAGCTCCACAGTTGTCTGATAGGTTTGCTGTCATGCCAGTCCTCCAAATATTCATGAAGAATTTCTCCAAATCTTCCAGATAAGGATATAATTAGCTGAAAAGATTGGCTTGACTGATCAGACAAGGCAGCACATACTTGTAATCCCAGCTACTTGGGAGGCTGCATTTACAATTCAAGACCTGTCTGGGAAAATTAAGTGTATCTTGTCTGAATATAAAAAAAAAACAAACAATGAGGAAAACATGATGGTGTGACTCGTGTGTTTGAAAGGGAGAAGGCAAAAGGAAGATTCAACTTGAACAGAAGTACCTAATCAGGAGAAGAAGTGTTTTATTTACGCATGACAGGACAAGAAAAGCTGATATATGTGTTGGGTTTATTCCTGCTACCTTCATGTAATACATCATGCATGATCAGTAACAGTTTTATACTTGCATCTTTATGCCAGTAATCCTCAAGTTTTAAAGTTTTCACAATCACTTGGATGTTTCTTAAGTATACAAGATACAGAATAGTGTTCTTAGAGCTCTATAGGATGGATGGGTCTTCAGGCTCTAAGTTTAAAATATGTTTACTCACATTAGATTAATTATAGTATATTCCACTAACTGGTGCTTAGCGTTTTTCTGCCTTGAAGTTTTAAATTTTACCATCTAATCAGAATTTTATTGTTGGTGATCAAATTGAACAATTTTTTTCCATAACTATTATGACAGATAGCAAAGAAACAGAAAAGCTTCAGTTATGCTGCTCTATAATCATTTATTAGAAAACGTGATTCTGTTAACATATAAAACTTGATGGAACAAATAAATAAACTTTTAAAAGAGTGGACTGGCTAATAAAGCAGGGACACTAATTTAGGTAACATTTATTGAGAACCTTCTAATAAACATTTGATTTCATGTATACACATATCATATATTTATCATGTTTTCATCCTAGTCCTCTGCAATATTTTGCATCCCCATTTTACAGGCTAATAAAAGTTTATTTATAGCAAATCAGCTCGAAATTATAAAGTTTGAAAATGATGGGGCCAAAACTCAGTCTTGGCACAAAGATAGTGTACAAATGCTACAGCTGCTTACCAATCCTAGGAAAATTCAATTTTAGGGTCATGAAAGGTTTTGTTTTATAGCAGTAAATAACATGAGCACATATGGGAACAATCAGCCTGTTTTTGTTTTGCTTAAGCTTCTGAACATTCAATACACCAGCACCTACCTAGTTAAACTTTGAAAAACATCAGTAGAGTATTTCTATTTCTATTTCTTCTGCTTCATAAAATTACTAAAAAAAAATTCACCTAGAAGACATAAGTGTCTCCTGTATTCTTGTTCTTTTTCACCAATGGGGTTATTTATTTTCACCATTTAAAAAAATATTTAAATGTAATCTTTCAGTTAAATCAATTATTAGAGATTAAACCAAGCTCATTAGAAACTTATATAACATCAGGTATGGACTTGTCTTTTTGTCTAATTTTTAAGTTCTAGCCCATTACAGTGAAAATAATTTATGCCACTTGTAGATCATATTCTTTTTTTCTCTCATTGAGTTTATTGGTACATTTTAGGTATACAGTACAGTTACATTCATCATTGGGATCTTGTACCTTTACATGTAGATCATATTCTTTTTTTCTCTCATTGAGTTTATTGGTACATTTTAGGTATACAGTACAGTTACATTCATCATTGGGATCTTGTACCTTTACATGTAGATCATATTCTTGAAGATTGTGTAAGCATGGTTCTTCTTTGACTAACCTGGAAGACAGATGTGATACGGACTGTCCTGGTGAGTCATCGAATCATGCAGGCAAAGACAACTGTCTGAAGGTGATAGAACAATGATATAGAAGGAATCTGGCTTCCTGGCTTCATTTATAGATAAAATGGTAATGGCCAGCTTCTGTAACGAATGTTATGTGAAAGATAAATATGCTTCACTTGTTCAGCCATTGCTATTAATCCATTTGCATGGCGGAATTTATCCTGATAAATCCATGAGTTCTTCCATAAATGTGGTGTCCTTGAATGCACAGTATACTTTTACTCAGCATTCTGTAAAGATCAATCTCAGCCTGATAAGAAATACTGGGCCCTTAAAGAATGATATCAGAATTGCTCAGATATTCTTTGTATGAACCAGAAACCATCTTATCTTGCCTATCTTACACCTTATATTCTCTTGACCAGCTTTTTGATTGATCCACCAGTAATTCTGTTTTGCCTTTTTCTATCCCTTCCCAGATAAATTCATACATTGTTATTTTTGTCTTTTTTAAATGTTTATTAGTAATTTTTTTTCAATTCTTCTTGCTACATTTTTTTCGTGTACTCACAGTGTGAAGAAGGCAAATAATAGACAATAAGAACAATAAACTCCGAGATGAACTTCACAAACATTGCCTGCTTTAAGGTATTCATTACAAACTTTAAAAATGAAACTGGACCATCTCAATACAATTGATACACAGAGCACATTAAAAAGATGTCTTACACTTTTGCGGGCTGTATACAACATCCATATCTATTCAACCTGTAAGAATTTACTTAACTACCTTCAATCATTTAGTCTATCCTCATTTTGCATATAAGAAAAATAATCATCTTTTTCAATTTTGTACTTTGTCATGAATCCTTATAGAAAAAGTTTAAAGTTTGTATTTAATGCCTGTAGTAGCTTACAAATAGTATCTTAATGATGCACTGTTCTCCCAGTTCCATAATCTAAACATGAGTTACTTTTTAGCTGAAATTCTGTTATAGAGGCTGCTCCCTACTATATGACTGGTTTGACTCATTGGCATGCTGGGAACTAGC